AGCAGTCAGGTTGATACGTGGCGTTGAAATTCTGGGAACATTGTTTTGGCATGCTTGAGGATCTTCAAATTGCTATCTTCCAACGGGGCAGTTCCCTCAATGGGAATGAACCGTCGTAGGGGCCTATGAAGAGGGAGCTTGGAGGGAGGGTTAATTTCAACTTCGTTGATGACTCTTGGGTTCCCACTGGTCCTTATCCTCCTCCTGCTCCTCCTGCTCCTCCTGCTCCTCCTCCTCCTCCTCCTCCTCCTCCTCCTCCGTCTCCTCCTCCTCTTCCTTCCTCCTACTCATCCTCCTGCTCCTCCTCCTCCTGCTCCTCCTCCTCCCACTCCTCCTGCTCCTGCTCCTGTTCCTCCTCCTTCTTCTCCTCCTTCTTCTCCTGATCCCCCTCTTCCTCCTCCTCCTCCTCCTCCTGTTCCTCCTCCTCCCTTTTCCTCCTTTTCCTACTCCTCCTCTTCCTCCTCCTCCTCCTCCGCCTCCTCCTCGTCCTTCGCCTCCTCCTCATTCTCCCCTCCTCCTCCTTCTCCTCCTCCTCCTCCTGCTCCTCCTGCTCCTCTTCGTTCTGCTGCTCCTCCTCCTCCTCCTCCTCCGCCCCCTCCTCCATTCCTTCTCCTTGTAGATAACTCCTCTGTGTCGCACCGCGACGCCTGCCGAAAGGGCGGGCCGGGGGCTTCGCGTGAGTTTCAAAACTGGCAACAGTTGCAATGGTGTCGGGCAGGTGGCTTCCAACACGTCGCTCTCGCCTTAGCGCCGCGCACATTGGATTTTTTACATTCGCAAGGGCTTCACGGATTGGGGGCGGGTGGCTTCCAAAATGTGGCTCTCGCCCCAGCGCAGCGCACAATGTGCAAGGGTTTTACTGATGGGGGCGAATGGTTTTCAAACTGTGGTTCTCGCCGTAGCGCCGCGCACACACGATTTATACATTTGCAGGAGCTTCACAAGTGGACGGCGGGCGGTTTTCAAAATGTGGCTCCCGCCTCCGCGCCGCGCACATTCGCTTTAGATAATTGCAGCAGTATTACGGAGTGAAGGCGCCTCGTTTCCAAAATATGGCTCTCGCGCGCACCTTCGTTTTAAACATTCACAACAGTGATAAGAGTTTCACGTACTCCCACGGTCAACGTATCAGAAGGGTGTGTTGGAAAGACGCTGGATTGCGAGGGTGTAACAATTACGCCGATTCGCGGTGTTGAAATCCCAGAATCCGCGTTCTGGCACGATTCAGGATCGTCAAGACGCACCAATCAGGTTGATCCGTGGCGTTGGACCCCCCGAGAATGGTATTTGGGGATGCTTCAGAATCGTCAAACGGTTGTCTCTCAACGGGGCAGCTCCGTCAGTGGAAATGAGCCTCTGTATGGGGCCTAGGAGCTTGCAGAAAAGGTTTATTCAAACAACGTTGGTGTAGATGAGTCTTGGATTTACACTTGTCCTCCTCCTCCTCCTTCTCCTCTTCGTCCCTCCTTCTTCCTCCCTCCTCCCCCGTCTCCCTCGTTCCCTCCTCGTCACTATTCTCCTTTTTTTCCTGCTCCTCCTCCTCCCCCTCCTCCTGCTCCTCCTCCTCCTCCTCCTCCTCCTCCTCCTCTTCCTCCTCCTCAGCCTGCATCTCTCTTCGTCTGGAATAGTTCCTCCCTGTCGCACCCCGAGGCCGGTCGAATGGGCGGGCGGGGCATGTCACCTGAGACTTCCTCACCGCACGTGACCCTGGAACGTGACGTTTGCAACACGCAACACGTTCACGGATGCAGGGCGGCCCGCTTTCAAACTGTGGCTCTCGCCCTGGCGCCGCGATCAGTCGCCTTAAACAGTTGCAGGAGCTTCACGCGTGGAGGGCGGCTCGCTTTTACCATGTGGTTCCCGCCTTAGCGCCGCGCGCACTCGCCCTTAAAATGCTCAAGAATTTCGAAGGTGGAAGGCGGCCCACTGTCAAAATGTTGCTCTCGCCTTAGCGCCGTGCACATTCGTCGTCGAACTGCGCCGGGAGTCTTACGCATGAAGGGCGGGTCCGTTTCAAAATGTGGCCCCGCCAGAGCGCCGCGCACATTCGTCTTAAAGATCTGCAACGGTTTCACGGGTGGAGGGCGGTTCCTTTTTCAACATCACATTCTTCTCAAGAGTTCGCAGTGGTTTCAGGCATTCGCATTGTTACCGTCCCACAGATGGTGTTTGGCACGATGTCAGGATGTCAGGGCGCAAAAGTCACGTCGATTTGCGGTGTTGAAATCACAAGGAAACATGTTCACGCAAGACTCACGATCGCCAAGGCGCAACAGTATCAGTGATTCGCGGCGTTGAGGCCCCACCGATGGAGATCTAGCACAGTTCCGGATTTCAGACGACTGTCTTCCGACGGTGCACTTCCCTCAGTGAAAATGAATCCTTGTCGGGGCCCGTGAAGAGGAAGCTTTGGGGGGAGGGTATATTTCATATTCGTTGACGAGTCTTGGGTTCACACTGGTCCTCATCCTCCTCCTCCTCGACCTCCTCCTCCTCGGTCTCCTCCTCATCCTCCTCCTTCTCCTTCTTCTTCTTCGTATTATTATTCTCGTTATTATTGCCATTTTTAGTATTACTATTCGGATTGTTCTTTTTATTGTTACTATCGTGATTAGCATTAGTAGTATTATTATGTTTCTTGATATTCCCTTTCCTCCTCGTTCTCCTCATCCTCCTTCTCAAGCTCACCCCCCCTGGTCGCCATCCCCCCCTCCCCCCTCCACCGTCCCCTACCACCCACCTTCCCCTCCTCCCCTGCACATCCTCCCTTCCACTCCTTCCCCTCTCCCCTGTCGCCTGACGCCCTCAGCCCGACGTGCGCCACCGCCCCTCCACCCTCCTGTCCCGCTCGCCCCCGCCCCACCGTAGGGTCGAAGGGCGGCGAGTCTGCGTCGGCCAGGTTCACGCGGGCATGGTCACGAAGCCTGTTGTGCGCAAGGGTTCCGCGGTTCCTCCTCCTCCTCCTCCTCGTCCTCCTCCTCCACCTCTTCCTCCCGCACTCCTCCTACCTCCTCCTCCTAATCCTCTTCCTCCTCCACCTCATCGTCTTCCTCCTCATCCTCCGTCCTCTTCTTTGTCCTGGTTTGTTCTCGTTCGTAACAACTATTCTGGATCGCGTTATGAGTCCGCTTCGCCTTATGATTACTAACATTGTCAATAGTAGTAATGGTCGTAGTAGTAGTAGCAGCAGCAGCAGCAGCAGTAGTAGTAGTAGTAGTAGTAGTAGTAGTAGTAGTAATAGTAGTAAAAGTAGTAGTAGTAGTAGTAGTAGTAGTAGTAGTAGTAGTAGTAGTAGTAGTAGTAGTAGTAGTAGTAGTAGTTAGTAGTAAGTAGTAGTAGTAGTAGTAGTAGTAGTAGTAGTAGTAGTAGTAGTAGTAGTAGTAGTAGTAGTAGTAGTGGTAGTGGTAGTGGTTAGTGGTATGTAGTGGTAGTAGTATTAGAAGTAGTAGGAGTAGATTGTAGTAGTAGTAGTAGTGGTTATAATAGTAGTAGTAGTAGTAGTGGTAGTAGTAGTAGTATTAACAACAATAGTAGTAGTAGTAGTAGTAGTAGCAGTAGTAGTAGTAGTAGTAGTCGTAGTAGTAGTCGTAGTAGTGGTAGTAGTAGTAGTAGTAGTAGTAACACTAGTAGTAGTAGTAGTAGTAGTCGTAGTAGCAGTAGTAGTAGTAGAAGTAGTAGTAGTAGTAGCAGCAGTAGTAAGTAGTACTAAGTAGTACTAGGTAGTAGTAGGTAGGTAGAGGTAGTAGTAGTAGATGTAGTAGTAGTAGTAGTAAAGAAGTGTTAGTATTAAATAGAATTCGTATCGTCAGCGTAGTAGTAGTAGTAGTAGGAGTAGTGGTAGTAGTAGTAAGCATAGTAGCAATAGTAGTAGAATATATAGTAGTTAGTAGAAGTAATAGTATAGTCGCAGTAGTAGTAGTAGTAAGAAGTATTATAGCAGCGGTAAGTAGTAGTAGTAAGCTGTAATGGTAAGTAGTAGTAAGTTATAGTAGTAGTAGTAGTATAAGTAGTAGTAAGTCTAGTCGAAGACGTAGAATACGGAAAGTAGTAGTAGTAGTAGTAGTAGTGGTGTTTGTAGTAGAAGTAGTAGTAGTAGTAGTAGTAGTAGTACTACTAGTAGTAGTACTAGTGGTAGTAGTAGCATCATTATTCTGACTCGTCTTAGCCGCCTCAATCTCAATATTAGTATTCGTGGTATACTTCCTGGCATTCGCATTAGTATTAGCATTCGCGTGCTGGTGTCTGTTTCCCCACATCCTGAGTGGGGTTCTTGTTTTCCCAGAACACCCTCTCCTTCCCACCCACCTCCCGCTCCATCTTCCATACAGCACAATATAATTCCTACCACACACACACACCATACCATACCATAGTTCCTACCACACATACCATACCATACCATACCATACCATACCACACCACACCATACGTACCATACCGTACCATACCATACCATGGCGTACCATAGCATACCATACCATATCACACCAATGCCACACCGTACCATACCATACCATACCTCCAGTACCATACCATACCATATCATACCATACCGTACCATACCAGACCTACCATACCATTCCATACCACTCCATACCGAAAACCATACTACTTACATGGTTTCGTGCCCCTCCCACCCCTCCATGGAGCTCCAGGGAGGCCCCGCCTGAGCGAGGAGGGTATCCGAAAACCATACTATTTACATGATTTCGTGCCCCTCCCACACCTCCAGGGAGGCCCCGCCTGAGCGAGGAGGGCATCGGAACACCATACTATTTACATGGTTTCGTGCCCCTCCCACCCCTCCAGGGAGGCCCCGCCTGAGCGAGGAGGGTATCCGAAAACCATACTATTTACATGGTTTCGTGCCCCTCCCACCCCTCCAGGGAGGCCCCGCCCGAGCGAGGAGGGTATCGGAATACCATACTATTTACATGGTTTCGTGCCCCTCCCACCCCTCCAGGGAGGCCCCGCCTGAGCGAGGAGGGTATCGGAATACCATACTATTTACATGGTTCCGTGCCCCTCCCACACCTCCAGGGAGGCCCCGCCTGAGCGAGGAGGGTATCGGAATACCATACTATTTACATGGTTTCGTGCCCCTCCCACCCCTCCAGGGAGGCCCCGCCTGAGCGAGGAGGGTATCGGAATACCATACTATTTACATGGTTTCGTGCCCCTCCCACCCCTCCCGGGAGGCCCCGCCTGAGCGAGGAGGGCATCGGAATACCATACTATTTACATGGTTTCGTGCCCCTCCCAATCCTACCTCTCCAGAGGGCAAAACCATACTATTTACATGGTTTCGTGCCCCTCCCACACCTCCAGGGAGGCCCCGCCTGAGCGAGGAGGGTATCGGAACACCATACTATTTACATGGTTTCGTGCCCCTCCCACCCCTCCAGGGGGGGGCCCGCCTGAGCGAGGAGGGTTTCCGAAAACCCTACTATTTACATGGTTTCGTGCCCCTCCCACCCCTGCAGGGAGGCCCCGCCTGAGCGAGGAGGGTATCCGAAAACCATACTATTGACATGGTTTCGTGCCCCTCCCACCTCTCCAGGGAGGCCCCGCCTGAGCGAGGAGGGTATTGTTAAAACCATACTAGTTACATGGTTTCGTGCCCCTCCCACCCCTGCAGGGAGGCCCCGCTTGAGCGAGGAGGGTATCGGAAAACCATACTATTTACATGGTGTCGTGCCCCTCCCACCCCTCCAGGGAGGCCCCGCCTGAGCGAGGAGGGCATCAAGAAAATGGGTCCCACGAAACCGTTAATCTCTTTATGTGGGGACCTCCGTTAGCATACTTTTTTTTAGCATTGGTGTTCGTCTGGGTGTTGGTGCTTGTTATTCGTATTCGTAGTATTCGTTTACATATTATGAACAGTCGTAATTGGAATACTTGCAGTAGTCGTCGCATTCGAAGTGGTATGGTTAGTATTCGTAGTCGCCGCACGAGTAGTATATTTAGCATGATGTGTATGGATATTCGTGTGAGTATGTTTCCTCATATGGTACGTCCGCGTAGTACCCTCAATATTACACTAATCTTATCAACACCAATAATACCAAAAGCAATCGCATTATTATCCTTACCTTGTTTGTTGCGTGTAGACTTACAGCATCAGTAGTAGTAATCGTAGTAGTAGTAGTAGTAGTAGTAGTAGTAGTAGTAGTAGTAGTAGTAGTAGTAGCAGTAGTAGTAGTAGTAGTAGTCGTAGCAGTAGTAGTAGTAGTAGCAGTAGTAGTAGGAGCAGTAGTAGTAGTAGTAGTAGTAGTAGTAGTAGTAGCAGTAGTAGTAGTAGTAGTAGTAGTAGTAGTAGTAGTAGCCGCCGTAGTATTAGTACAGGTGCTGTTAGTATGACCGGTATCCTCAGCATTATGACGATGTTTCCTCCTCCTCCTCCTCCTCCTCCTCCTCCTCCTCCTCCTCCTCCTCCCTCCTCCTCAACATCACCACCACCAACAACAACAACTTCATCAGCACCATCATCATTACCGGCATCCCCATCATCATCAGCATCAGCATCCCCAATCCTCTCCTCCTCCGCCTCCTCCTCCTCCTTTTGTTCCTCTTCCTCCTCCTCCCTTTCCTCTTGCTCGCCATCATCATCACCATCATCACTTTCATCGTCACAAATCATCGCCAACAGCATGCGCATTAGCATCGGCATCATCATCAGCATAATCCTCCTCCTCCTCTCCTCCTCCTCCTCCTCCTCTTCCTCCTCCTCCTCCTCCTCCTCCTCCTCCTCCTCCTCCTCCTCCTCCTCCTCCTCATCCTACCCTTCCTCCTCCTCCTTTTCCTTTCGCTTTTCCTCTTATTGATGTTCCTCTTCCTCCTCATCCTCCTCCCCCTACTCCTCCCCCTCGTCCTCTTCCTTTTCCTCCTCTTCCTGCTCCTCCTCCTCCGCCCCCTCCTCATCCTGGTCCTCGTCGTTTTCCTCAACCTCCTCGTTCTCCTCCTTCTTCTCCTCCTCCATTTTTTTTCCTTGTACTTAGTTCCCCCCTGGTCGGTGCTCGGACGTGTCAGTAGGGCGGGCCAACGGATTCGACGGATAGTTCTTCGCCACGTAGGATCCTGGAGCTTGACATTTGCAACAGCTTCACGGACGGAGGGCTGGTCCTTTTTCAGGATGTGTTTCCCGCCCTAACGCCACGCACACCCGTCCCGAAAAAAACGCAACAGGCTCACGGGTGGAGGGCGCGCCGTTTTCAAACTGTGGTTCTCGCTCTCGCGCCGCGCAGAGTCGTCCTCGAAGCTTGAACCAGCGTCACGGATGAAAGGCGGGTCCGTTTCAAAATGCCCCGGTCGCCTCAGCACCACGCACGCTCGTTTTGACAGCGTGCAACAACCTCACGGACGGAGGGCGGGTGTGTCATAATGCAATTCTCGCGCAAGCGCCGCAAACATTCGTTTTGAGACTTCACAACCGCTTCACGGGTGGAGGGCGCTGTGTTTCATGACTTGGCTCTCGGCCGAGCGCTGCGCACAGTCGTTGTTTTCAACTGCGCGGCTGTTTCGAATATCCGTATGGTTATTAGACCAGGAGTGGTGTTCTGACAAGACCACGGATTGTCAGAACGCAACCATCAGGTTGATTCGCAATGTTAGGATCCCAAGAGTGGTGTTCCGGCACGGCTTAGGATTGTCTGGCCGCAGCAGTTATCGGTCGATGGCGTTGAAGTCCCAGCAACGGTGTTGGCACGATTGCGGATTATCACACGGTTGTTTTCTACTGGGCCACCTCCCTCAACAATTCAAGTTTCGGCCTCGACATATGCAAACGGAGCTCGAGGGGTGGAGATTGCAACATCGTGGATGCGACTTGGATTTGCACTGGTGTTATCCCTCTTCTTCTTCCTCCTCCTCCTCCTCCTCCTCCTCCTCCTCCGTCTCCCCCCATTTTCCCCCCTCCATCCTCTCATTCCTCCTCCTCGTCCTCCCCCGCCCCCTTCTCCTCAGCATTCCCCCCCTCGCTCACTCACTCTCTCTCCGTCCCTCCCTCCCTCCCTCCCCCCTTTCTCTTTCGCAGCGTTCCCTCCTCTCTCTCTCTCTCTTTCTCTGGCAGTGCGGTCGGGCGTTCCCGATCCGCGCCGCCGCGCCGCCGCGCTCGCCGGGGGCGCCGCGAACGCCCCCTCGGCCCTTCGGGGGACCCTGTTCCCGAAGGGCAGGGGAGGAGGGGGAGAGGCCACCTGCCCGTTCTCCGCCACTGTCGCCTGGAGCCCGCCGAGGGAAAAGGAGGAGGAGCGGTCAGGCTGCTCATGGGATGTCGCAGTGGTTACGGACGACGTAGCACCGTGCCTGTCTCGACATACGTGGCGTACCTTGTCGGTGATGCTGTAAACGAGTTAGCGTCATGGTCCCCGAGATGAAAGCGATGTAGTTGTAGCTGGGGGATTGTGGCTTCACGTTGGCCGCTCTTACCATCACCATCGTGAAATGTCACTCGAAGGGCAAGTGGTAATTCGTGTACGGCAGCGAGCGGACCACACATACGGAGATGCGGGCAGCCTCGCAGACAGCCTCTATGGGGAGGATCCGCAGGTGATTCTCTCCGTCCCATTTGTCCCAGTAGTTGTCCCTCCCTCTCTCTTTTTCCTCCTCCTCCTCCTCCTCCTCCTCCTCCTCCTCCTCCTCCTCCTCCCCGGCGTCCGAATGGCGCCGTCCAGCATCTCAAACCCTCCCTCCTCCATCCTCCATCATTCTCCATCCCCCTATCCTTCCACCTCCCTCCTCCTCCCTCCTCCCTCCTCGCCACTCCCTCCCTCCCTCCTCCCCGTTCCTCCCTCCTCCCTCCTCCTCCTCCCTCCTCCCAACGAGGACGTGAAGAAATCTCCGCCACCCAAGCCTGCTGCATGCGGTCGCGCCCTCCTGGGATCCCTGGTCCCCGCACGCGCGCGGGCGGAAGAGCGCGAAGATGGACGGAGGAGAAGGAGGGTAAAGGAGGAGGAGGAGGAGGAGAAGGAGGAAGAGGGAGGAGGAGGAAGGAGGGGGACATTGAGAGGGAGTGGGAGGAGGAGGAGGAGGAGGAAGAGGAGGAGGAGGAGGAGGAGGAGGAGGAGGAGGAGGAGGAGGAGGAGAAGGAGGAGGAGCAGGAGAGGCGAGGGAGCGAGGGAGGAGGACGAGGACACGCTGCACCCACGCCGCGCTCGAGGGCGGAGCGAGCGTCCGCCCCCGCCGTGCCCGAGGAGCGGCTGCTTCGGGCACGTCGCCGCCGTCGCCGCCGCCGTTGGCGTCGCCGAGGTCGTCGTCGTCGTCGTCGTCGCCGCCGCCGTCGCCGCCGTCCGCGTGGTCGCCGCCGTCGCCGTCGTCGTTTCTCGCCGACGTCGCCGTCGTCGTCGCCGTCGTCGTCGCTGTCGCCATTTCTCGCCGTCGCCGTCGCCGTTTCTCGCCGACGTCGTCGTTTGTCGCCGTCGTCGTCGTCTGTCGCCGGCTTTGCCGAACCCAGCTGTGCTCGGCAGGCTGGAGGCGACGCCGGGAGATCTTGGCGAGGCGGGCGGTGGGTCGCCGCGCCTCATGATCTTGTTGCCCTTCTTCCCGACGATCCAGGCGGCCTTGCAGGGGTGAAGGGGATGAGGTTTCAAAGGCACGAGTGAGGAGGGCGGAGGGCGGAGGGAGGAGGAGGAGGAGGAGGAGGAGGAGGGAGGAGGAGGAGGAACCAGTGAGGAGGGAAAAGCGAGGAAGGAGGGGCAGGAGAGACGATGACGAGCAGGAGGAGCATGAAGGATAATGACGCACGGAGGCAGCGCTATGTGCAGAGCAACGGCTACAAGGTGGTCTGAGAAGATGGCGGCAACGACAACACAAAACTGCCACACCCATTGGGTAGAAAGATAAAGAAGTGATATTTTATATATATATATATATATATATGGAGAGAGAGAGGAGAGAGAGAGAGAGAGTGAGTGAGTGAGTGAGTGAGTGAGTGAGTGAGAGAGTGAGCGAGTGAGAAGGTAAGTGGGTGAGTGAGTGAGACAGAAAAAAAACAGCGAGAAAGGAAGAACACAAAAAAACAGCGCTTCAGGGCCCGAGTGGCTCAGAGCGCTTACTCTCGTCTTCCCCTTCGGGGAGGGAGTTTACCCGTCCCCCTGTCCCCCCTGCCCCCTTCCCTGGACCTGGACGGGGGTTTCGCGACCAACTGGGGCGTCTTCAAGAAGGCCTCGGCGAGAAGGCACACGCCGCTGATGCTACGAAGGTGCTGGTCCCATGTAGGCCTCCCGGTAGGGGGGGGGGGCGGGCGACGCTGACCGTAACTGCACCCTTCGGTCGGAAGAAGCGGGTAGAGCATGAAGCAGGAATGCCCTGGATGTAGACTGGATCTCCGCCCACCCCCTTGAAAACGAAGGCGGAGGGACAACCGTTCGACACCTAAAATGGGAAGGCACCCAGAGTAGATTGGAATCCAGGGATCCCAGAACGCCCACGTAGCACCCCGCACCTGCGGACCAAGAGCGAGGGAAGCCAACGGAGGCGAAGTTGCCCCCATGCAGTGCCCCCAAAACACCGCCCCCATGCTCTGCTTCCCCCCCCCAGAGGTGCCCCCCAAGAAATCGCCCCCCGCGCATTGCCCCCGGGTGTCGCCCCCACGTGCTGTGCTCCAAATATCGGCCCCCAGAGACGGAGCCCCCTGCGCGTTTCTGCGTTTCTCGCTCCGAGCAGCGTCTCACGTGCGCCCGGAGCGCGGAGCGCGCCGCAGCAGCCCACGAGGGCCGTGCGGGCACTCAGACGACGGCCCCGGGAACCCGACCCCGAGGAAGAGAAAGAGGACCAGGGACCAGGACGGAGCCCCCATCTATCTAGCCGCGCGCGCGCGCGGGGCAGAAGCGGGACCGCTCGAGCCCCCCTCGCTCTCGCCTTCGGCGACCGATGGGCACCCCTTTCCACAGCGGGCCACGCGCCGCTCCCCCCCCCGCCGCCGCCGCGCAGGAGGAGAAGGGAGGGGGGGGGAGGAGAGGGAGCAGGAGGGGGGGGGGGGGAGCAGGGAGGAGGAGGAAGAGGAGGGATCTGTCAGGAGAAGGGGTACGAGGAGGGGGGGAGGAGGGAGGTGCGGCCTCGCCTCTTCTGCACCCCCCCTGGCGAGGGGGGGGAGGACCCCCGCCGCCGCGCCTCCTCCTTCGAGACCAGCATGCGGATCGGCGTCTCCCGCGCCCCGGGGCCGCCGCCCGGGCGCGGCGGGGCCGAGCCGAACGGGCCTGCCCCCGGGCGGAGAAGGATCCTCCTCCTCCTCTCCCTCCTCCCTCCACCTCCTCACTCCACCTCCCCTCCTCCTCCTTCCTCCTCTTCCTCCATCTCGCCATCGAAATCAGACATCATCACCAGTCACGTATTCTTGGGCCCTGTGCTTGAAGATCATCATCATCATCACATCTCATCATCAACACCATCATCATCATCATCATCATCATCATCATCATCATCATCATTGTCATCATCATCATCATCATCATCATCATCATCATCATCAGCATCATCATCATCATAACCATCATCATCATCATCATCATCATCGTCATCATCATCATCATCACCATCATCATCAGCAGCAGCAGCTTCATCAGCAGGAGCATCATCAGCAGCATCAGCATCAGCAACATCAGCATGAGCAGCATCATCATTATCAGCATCAGCATCAGCATCATCATCAGCAGCACCAGCATCGTCACAACCACCATCATCATCAGCAGCAGCATCGTCATCATCAGCACCGTCATCAGCAGCATCATCATAATCGTCATCATCGTCATCGTCAGCGCCAGCATCAGCATCATCATCCGCATCATCATCATCATCATCATCATCATCATCATCATCATCATCATCATCATCATCATCATCATTAGCAGCAGCAGCATCATCAGCATCATCATCAGCATCATCATCAGCATCAGCACCATCATCATCCGCAGCGTCATAAGCATCCGCATCATCATCCGCAGCAGCATCGCCATCAGCATCATCAGCAGCATCAGCATCAGCAGCATCATCAACATCATCAGCAGCATCAGCAGCGTCCTCACCATCCTCATGATCATCATCGTCCACAGCAACAGCAACATCAGCGTCATCATTCTCATCAGCAGCATCATCGTCAGCATCAGCATCAGCATCAGCATCAGCGCCATCAATAGCATCATCATCATCAACATCATCATCATCATCAGCATCAGCATCATCATCATCATCATCATCATCATCATCAGCAACAGCATCAGCGTCATAACCGGCATCGGCATCATCAACATCAACAGCCGCCTCAGCATCCACACCATCATCATTGTCAGCATCAGCATCGTCATCATCATCATCAACAGCAGCATGTTCATCATCCTCATCAGCAGCAACAGCAGCAACAGCGGCATCATCATCATCAGCAGCAGCATCAGTATCATGTTCGTCATCGTCATTGTCATCATCAGCATCATGTTCATCCTCAGCATCGTCATCATCACCATCATCCTCATCGTCACCATCATCATCGTCATCGTCATCATCCGCATCAACATCATCACCATTATCATGTCGGTCCCCTCCGCCAACGCCTCACCTGTAAACCGGGTATCGGGACCATTGTCTACGACGTGTCATGGTGGCATGCGAGGGCCCAACAGTTATTCGTGGACGGGAGGGGACGTTGACGCGGAAGGGGTTATTGGGCCTCCGGCATGAGACTTGAGTTCAGTGTGCAGCAGCTAGAACATGTTGAGGAGGCGGCGAGGGAGGATGGCAGGCTAGGTCTGGCCAACCCTGGAGCGATGCACGTCGAGGGTGTGCCAGGGGTGATCTCCGAAGAAGACCGTCCGCCCCTGCTGCTGCTGCTGAGGTCACCGCCGCCGCCCCAGAGGACCTGCAGGCTCACGTTGGGATGCCCTGCGCCCTCAGCGGCCTCTCGGTCGCGACGGCCGCCGTCGTCTCTCTTGAGCCCGAGGCTGAGGCCCGGCCTGATCTCTTGTGCTGCAAGTCCTGCGGGGCCCGCTCACAAGCTCGTTCGCTCGGGGCAGGAGCTGGACGGCATGCGTCGTGGCCGTGAGGCGGCGGGGCTGCGATCGCAGCGCTCGCGCCTGCGTCGGGGGGGCTCTCCCCCGACTCGCAGCCAACACCGAGGAGGTTCGAGGCCCCGGCGAGGCGGCCATCGACGAATGGACGCCCCGCTTCACCTCCCGCAGTGCAGGCGAGCGGGGGGGTGGAGGCAGGAGGCCAGCGGGTGGATGCATCAGTCGGTGTCTGTTCAGGCCCCAGGGAGCTGCGGCACAGTCGTGCCAGGGCTCCAAGACTGGGCAGTGGCCTGCACGCATGGTGTCAGGTCTCCCTCGGACGTCCTGATAAGTGTTGCTTCCTTGAAGCCGAGGGGTGGGGAATGTGATGTTCCTCAAGCGCCTGCCCAGGGCAGGGCTGCGTCTCTGCGGAGAGGGGGGGGGACTGCCCCGTGTAGTCAGCACACTAAGAACACCTCCTCCTCCTCCTCCTCCTCCTCCTCCTCCTCCTCCTCCTCCTCTTCCTCCTCCTCTTCCTCCTCCTCGTCCTCCTGCTCCTCCTCCGCCTCCTTCTCCTCATCCTTCGCCTCCTCCTCCTCCTCCTCCTCCGACTCCTCCGACTCCGACTCCTCTTCCGTCTCCTCCTCCTCCTCCTCCTCCTTCTCCTCCTCCTCTTCCTCCTCATTCCTTCTTATTATGGATAACTCATCCCTGTCGCACCCTGGGGACAGTTTTTAGAGCGGGCCGGGAGTTTCGCCTGAGACTTCCTCACCATGTATGACTCAGCTTAAAAAAGTGACAACAGCTTCACAGATGGAGGGCAGGTCGTTTTCAAAATGTGGCTCTCGCCTTGGCGCCGCGAACACTCGTTCGAGCTTCACGGATTGAGGGCGAGTGGTTTTCAAAATGCGGCTCTCGCCTTAGCGCCGCGCACACTCGTTTTTTTAATACTTGCACGAGCTTCACGGAATGAGGGCGGGTGGTTTTCAAAATGTGGTTCTCGCCTTAGCGCCGCGCACACTCGTGTTAAACAGTTGCACATCTTCACGGAATGAGGGCGGGTGGTTTTCAAAATGTGGCTCTCGCCATAGCGCCGCGCACATTCGCTTTAAAAAATTGCAAGGGCTTCACGGATTGAGGGCGGGTCGTTTTCGACATTAGGGTGAGGACAAGCGGAGAGTCTCTCAGATCCGGCGGCTCTGGAGGATGTCTCGGGCGCCGCGGCCTTCTGAGTAGTCTGCAACGCCCTGAGAGCGTTCCAGAACGCTCTGATTTAACCTCGTCCTAGCCTTAGGTCGGGCATGTCCCCCTACAGGCGGAATTTGGAGGAAAAATTATCCCAGCAAAGCAACCTAACAGCGATGTGTAGAAGCATATCTGAAAGCATTCCCCTTAAGATTCAGATGAAAATCCAGCTGTAGAATTCTGCTGTTCTCGCAGTCGTAGTCGCATTCGCGATGACAGTCGCAGCGGCAACGGCAGTCGCAGTCACAGCCTCAACCTCGGCCTGCATCAGCCTCAGCCTCAGCCTGCCTCAGCCTCAGCCTGCCTCAGCCTCAGCCTGCTTCAGCCTCAGCCTCAGTCTGCCTTCAGCCTCGGCCTCAGCCTGCCTCAGCCTCAGCCTGCATCAGCCTCAGCCTCAGCCTCAGCCTGCCTCAGCATCAGCTTGCCTCAGCCTCAGCCTCAGCCTGCCTCAGCCTCAGCCTCAGCCTGCTTCAGCCTCAGCCTCAGTCTGCCTTCAGCCGCGGCCTCAGCCTCAGCCTGCCTCAGCCTCAGCCTGCCTCAGCCTCAGACTCAGCCTGCCTCAGCATTCAGAATGTGGCCCGGGAATGGAGTTCTGGGAACTCGAAGAACACGAAGTGGCCTACAGTTGGCTCCGGGCATTCAAAATCATGCCCAGGAATGGAGTTCTGGGAACTTGAAGAGCACGAAGTGGCCTACAGTTTGCTCCGGGCATCCAAAATGTGGCCCGGGAATGGAGTTCTGGGAAATCGAAGAGCACGAAGTGGCCTACAGTTGGCTCCGGGCA